GCCGCGGTAACCAATGAACATGTTAGGAGCTGTAAGCTTATTGGCTACCGCGTCACATTTTGCCGCGCGGCAAGCGTTTCCGCGTCCAGTGTACAGGAGCCATAAGGGTGCGGTTACATGGATTGATATTTTCCGCGTAACCAATCAGAGGCGATCCGCGCTTTCCGTTATGCTTGTTTTAAAAAGTTGCGTATTGCGCAAGTTTACGCGATTTTTATGTAAGCGTGGTATTTTGATACAGGTAATATAGAGGCATCTGTAAATTTTTTTTATATTATTCTTTAGTTTAAAATTTAGAAAAATAGGTAAACAACTGTGTTATTTACTCTCTCGTATTTTTCTTTATTTCTGTATTTATTTGTTTTGTGCTAGTGTTATTTCATTTGATGTATATGGTATAGATTGTTTTATTCACTCTTTATTATGTATCTATTTTAATATATTTTTTTAGTTCTTTTAATATAAAATTGTGTATGTGTAAAAATCTTCTAAAAAGCAGCAATGATCTGGTCAGGTTAAATATAGAAAAATAGAGAAGCTTATAATCTGCGAAGGGGGTTAATCAGTTAATATAATTATCTTTGTTTACAGCAAATAAAATGTGGCTATTGCAGCTGGCTCATAGTACAACAATGTCAAAATATATATTCCAACGTAACTGCTTTAAAGGATACAATGAAAATAAGAACGCTTTAAAAATTGACTACGTGGCTTATTTCAAGCTTATAAATAAATGTCTTTGAATTAATAAATTAAGATAAGATACAATAAAATTCAATATAAAATTCAAAATACAAACAAGGAACTCACAGTTCATTCTTTATGTCTTTATGTCTTTTGAACGCACCCAATGTATGTATGCTACAAAAGTGTCTTGTTGTCATAGTGACTAGTCAACAACTTGAAATCGCAATATCCAAAAGCATGGAAACATTGCTACATTCATATATTATCAATACATTCGTATAAAATGTTATTTGGAATTAAAATGGTTAATTAGTTTAGAATTTTGCAAAAAGTTTGCAGTTCAATTACAAATTAAATTTTGAAGAATTAATAAATCAGTGTTTTGTGACAATATCTTGCATAAAGTAAGATTTATTTGCATATATATGTACAATATATTTTAATCTTAGCAATACATCATGATGGATATGGAGATGAATGCTGAACTCGACGGTGTAAGTAATCATTTATCATTTATACAGAAATATATATTAGATGCGTTCTAGAAGACACTTATACACTAGTGCCATTTATATCATTTTATCTTTATTGTTTATTAGATGTAAAATAAGGACAGAATGATAAATAGCGTTAATCTTCCTGAACACACCTGATTAATAATTTGATAATTTAATGATAATTTATTATTTAATTCTTTATGATATGTTATCATATGATTAAAGGTCTTTTAAATTTATATTCAAGATTGTTTAAAAGCGAAAAAGATTTTATACTCATGTAATTTCGTTTTATCTTGAATATTAACTTTATTGAATTGTTTGTGGTTTGGATAAGAGGAGTGTCATATCGAAATGGCAATGAAATGATGCTGCTTTTTAGGCTGAAAGTGAAAGCAGTCAACCGTCCTCGGAAGGAAGTTCAGCAAGTAGCACATTTTGTATCTTGGAAAAAGATTATGCAAGGGTAAGATCTTTGAAAAATTAATTGGTTTGCAAGTTACAAAATATATTTCGCTACTTATATTTATTCTATTCTATTATAAATTTTAGTATATGGTAGAGTCCGACCGAATGGCACGTTTGACCTCCGGCCGAAACCGAAACCGAAACCGAAAACGAATATTCGATTATCATTCAATTTCGGCCGAAAACGAAACCAAAACCGAAACTTAGATAAGTCTTATTAAAAGAGAGAAAGAGGTGGAGAGAGAAGGGGAGAGAGAGAGAGAGAGAGAGAGAGAGAGAGAGAGAGAGAGAGAGAGAGAGAGAGAGAGAGAGAAGTCATACTTTTTTCGGCCGGAGTCGAAATCGACATTTTTTGATTAATTTTATAGAGATTGTATGATTTTCAGAAATCATGACAAATTTATGTACTCTTTAAAAAACAAGATTTTATTAAAATATCTAACTATAATAATACCCACTAAGCAAGGAATGTTGCAGCAACGTTCAGTAACATTTCTTGTTTACTGGGTATAATAATATTGTATTCTCAAATCTTTAAAGAAATCAAATCATAGTTATTATTAGGATCACATCAAAATTTGTACTCAAATTGTCTTAAGCTTAATCAACAAATTAATATTTAAATCGAACAGTTTTTTAAACGTTCACAGGCGCGTTGCAACTTGTACAGTTTACCCACCAAAATTTTCTCTTAATTTCGGCCGAAACCGTAATTTCGGTCGGACTCTAGTACATAGAAAGTTATATATACATATTTTGAGCTCTCCTTTGCATTAATATTTTACTAAAAATATTTTATGTATTTTATTTATATCAATACAAATTTGTTAAAATAATGATTAAATACATTTTATTAATTAATTTCATAATGAATACTGTATTTTATTTGATATGTATAAATTTTATTTGTACTATACGATACAAAGGATTTAGCTTTTCATAGCAATATCAATACAAACTTATTTATCTTGTTAATACGCTTAGAAGGATAAACACACGGAAATATACAAGAAATATAAATATTTTAACATATTTATTACATTCTCTTTGTATCTATTCACTCACACACAGGCACGCACGCACGCATTCATATATGTTAGAGGACAAGAAAAAATTTTTTGAGTTATATTTATGTTTTTGAGGTCG